TCAAATCTCTCCAGCAGTAATATTAGTAAGAATCACTTAAAGAATTTGAATTTCAGTAGAAAATTCAGCCCTCAGATTGTCAGATGGTAGATGCATCTCAAGTGGATCTACGATAGCTATTCTTGTTTTCATATCTTGGTAGCTGCAATAAGATTGAATTGGGCAGTGCACAGAAATTGCCTAGGTTTATTTTATTCAAAATACACAAGGCAAGTTGATAAGTAGAATAGTATATCAATAGTCATTTCTCTTTCCCTCCCTTATAAATCTCAGAAATATATTATTGTTATTAAAGCTCTCCTGAGCCAGATGTTTATTATAGTGTTTCTGGCTTAGGAGCTGCATAATGCACACATTTTAAAACTGAGATAGACTCCTCTTTTCATCTGTTGAAGGATAACTAAAGACAACTGAGTATTTTTGAATGAATTATCATATTGAGTGACAAAGAGCCATATTATTGCCTATATTCCTGATTCAAACTACTTGTCCCTTCTCACACATTTATATTCTGCCAACACATACTCCTTAGGAAGTTGCTGTATGGAATATTTATTTTTATTTGCTGTACTTTAGTTTTTCATGTAGGAAAATAAAGTGCATTTCTTACTTTGAAAATATCTGGAAAATTCACAACTCACTGTAGAGATTTCTGTAGTGCTTAATTTGCTAGAGAGTACAAAGGTAACCTAGAAACTACATCTGACTTCATATTACTACAAATTTACAACAGGAACACAACAGGAGATGGCACTCTGTGGGTACTTGGAGGCATTCAGTATCGTCTCCAGCCAAAAGCCAAGTATATTAGGTTGGGAACAAGTAGTTCATATCAGAGGATACAGGTAGAGATATAGAGCTTTGCTGGTCAAATATATAACAGTTTATTCAAAAATAAATTCAGTTGTCTTTGATACATTTAGATTGCAGTGATTATCCCACAACTATAAGTAACATTCCACAAAGTTGAAAATTGCATTTCTGAGTAAAACGCATAGAACTGCACTGTGTTTGTCATTCTAGTTTTCTTGTACCAGCCCAGTAAGTTAAAAAAAAAAAAAACCCTTTGCAGGTCAGCCAATTAAATTCCTTTTCTGATTGGTCACAACTATGCCTGATGTCATTATTTTATATGTAAAATTAGGCATTTTATCTACATTTGCTTTTTAATACCATGTCCCAGTCAGAAATATCTTTTTGGAGTCCTTAACAATGAAATAATCTTTTGGAACTAGTGTTTTTTATCATTTAAAGTGTGTGTGTGTGTGTGTGTGTGTGTTTTAAATGATAAAAAGCACTAGTTCCATCCCTTCACTGCTTACATTTCCATTATTTAGATGTATTCATTGCAAGATCTGTTTATTCTTGCTTTCTTTCTTTAGCCAGTTCTAATCAAAAGAGAACCTCTCTTCTTATTCCTTAACTGCTAAGTCTGCTCAAGGATATTTGGTGATTTTATCAAAAGCCTTTTGAAAGTGCAAGCAAATAAAATTAGATTTCATAGAATTAAAAAGGGCTCCTTAAAATCATCATGCAACTGAGTTCAATTTATATTACCTTCAAGTAAAAGAATGTTTAAGATTGAAACCTAATGCAATTTTATACTAGAATAAGACCCACCGAGCTCAGTGGGGCTTATGCTTGAGTAAATAGGTATAGGATTGTGTAAGCAGGACAAAGAGGTAATGTTAGATGAAATTATGAGCCAAATTGACATACTAAAAATAAATAAAACCTCAAGTCCAAACAATATCCACACAGAAGTTTTTGAAGAACTTTAATATGAAATTGTTTATCTTTCTTCAAGAACACAGAACTTCTAGAGCCTGAAAAAAAGCCAGTGTGACTCACAGGGGTTTAAGGGGGCAATAAAGGTATTAGGCCAGTTAGTTTTGTTATCAGTTCTAGAGAAAATTATTGAAAGTGTTATCAAAAATAAAATAAGCAAATGCAAGAAAGAATGAGACTTGATGAAAAGAAACCAACGTAGTTTCTATAAAGTTAAATCTTATTTTTGTAGACTTATTTGAGGATGTTAACATACATGTTGACAATACTGACCCAAGAGTAATTTTTTTTAGAAAAGAAATAAAAAATATCTGAGCAAATTTAACTGTAAGAGGAAGGAGCAATCATTGACAACTGGTGAAGAACTGGAACCAAGATGGGAATAAATGGCCAATTTTCACCCTGATGAGAAGTGTAAATTGGAATCCTCCAGGGAGTGTTGTTGTAACTGCTATTGTTTATTTGCATGTGTGATTTTATGGAGGATTTGGGGGAGGGGGAATGTCTGCTAAAGCCAAATATCTGTGGAACCTAAAAAAATATAACTGACATCACTTGCCTCCAACTTACATCTCTTATATAGTGTAAATAATGTAAAATGATGCAAATGTTAATTTATTGTTCAGAATGTGTTAGACACCATGGACTTTAATCTGGTAAAGTCTGAACTAAAATGAGCAGTGTTGGGCTTCTGAGTTTAGTGACTGTGGTCTAGACAATAGATGTGTGAACTAAAATGTATATTGCAACTGAGGTCTTCTAATTAGTAGTCTGTAAATTTGAGGCAGGAGATCACATTAGTCAATCCTAAAGGAAATCAACCCTGACTGTTTTTTGGAAGGATAGATACTGAAGTTGAAGCTCAAATACTTTGGCCACCAAATGAGAAGAGAGGACTCATTGGAAAAAATCTTTGTGTTGGGAAAGATGGAAGGCAAAAGGAAGTTAGATAATGTCATTGAAGCAAAGAAGATGGATTTGGGCAGATCCAGGAGATAGTGGAGGACAGGGGGCGGGGATGGTGGTGTGCCATGGGCTCATGAGGAGTCAGACAAGATTTAGCAACTGAACTACTAAATTTAGTGCTGAGTAGTTATAGCTCTGTTGGCTGATGAAATCAAACTATTCAGTGTGATAACATCAAAAATGGACTGCAAAAATCTCCCAAACTCTCCAAACTGAGTGAAATGTGTTTATAAACCACCTTTAATGCATCTGTGAAAGGAGATGGATGGTTTCTAAAAAAAAGATAGATCGACAGATTGATAGATCGATAGACAGATAAAATTAAATTCAGTGTGAACAACTGTGAAGTGATATATGTTGACATAAAATCTCACCAGTACATTAATGAGATCTTAGTAACACTAGGAAAGAGATCTTTTGTCATGGTGGGCAGCTTGATGAAAATGTAACTATGTACAGCTGCCACAACAAAGGGAAATTCAATTATTGGAAACTAGGGATTTTAGCACTCAGAGCACTGATCATTACACTTTGAAAGGGATTATTTTAAAGCTAGGAAAGGTGCAAAAAATGACAATCAAAATTATTAAGGGCTAGAGAAACTCTTCTGCAAAGAAAGGCTACAGTACAGCAATCAAGGCTCTTAGAACAAAATGAAACAAATACAGAGTGCACCAAATCAGACAATGCTTAGATAATGAGGTTTTCTCTCATTACCTTAGACTTCAAAATCCTCCACTGAAATTGAATGCAGAGAGATTCTGGATTGATAGAAAGAAAAATATATTTTAAATGAGACTCAGTTAAATTAGAATTTGCAACTGGCATTGTGGAAGATCAGAGGATCAGGATATCAATGGCTATGAATACTAATTGTCTGCTATATCCTGGATTATAGGCAGCCCTAGGCGGTAACAATGGAAGAGGGCTCTCAGCCTCCCGTCTAGGTTTAAAGAGCTTCCCAATTCAATCAAGCTGCCCACTGTGTGATAAAATGCTGGACAAGCTCTTCTTACAATTCCATCACATTAACATGGTCTCTTTAATGTATAAATTATATGAGAATAGAGGTTCATTCACCGAGCTTGTGGGTTGTTTTTTGAATGCTTCATTACCAGATTAGGTAACATCTTTAGCAAAATTTAGGGATGTCACTGCTTATAAGGGCTTTGAGTGGTTAGTAGGTCTTGTGAGGGGAGGGTCATGTCAGGTGAGGGTCTTGACCCTCCCCCCACAGGACCTACTGACCACTCAAAGTCCTTATAAGCAGAAGAACACCAACACTGACATTCCCTAAATTCCGCTGAACATGTTACCTAGACTGGTAACGAAACCTTTGGAAACCAACCCACAACGCCTGGAGAATGAACCTCCACTCTCATCCTATACATGAGCTACATATATTTGCCACTATTATAAGTTATTTGTTATGGGTTATAAATTGCATCTGGTGTCTTTCTTTGGGCTGGAATGGAGCCATTGGGAAATTAAAGACCACAGACCCTATAATATATAAGTAAAAAGTATCCGAAGGTACAACTTCATAGGGGTTCAAGGTGAACCCTTATGAAGTTGTATCTTCGGATACTTTTTGGATGGATAGTTCATTTTTTGACTAATTATCCCTTCCATCCCCTACAAAGCAAAGCCAAGTCAGAAGTGAACCTCACCAAAGTTCAGTGGCACCAATATCCCATGCCACCGAGAATGGGAATAGCACTGAAGGAGCGCCACATTTACATGCACCCCCCAGTCTTTCCAGGTCATCTGATAAGATTTTGAGACGACTCTACTCATCCAGTACTGGGGGAAGAAGATTTGTTTGTTTGTTTGTTTACCACCGTCGCTGCCCTCGGGAGAAACCGAGGGGACGGCTGAGGAGAATCTACCGCACCCCATCAGCTGAGAAGAATCCTTCCGCGGTGTCCGGGCAGCAGCAGAAAGGAGGAGAAGGGGGTCCCATTCGCAGCCTCGAGCCCCCTTTCTCCATTTCTGAGCTGGGGGGGGGTGGGGTGCTCGGCGCAGCTCTGATCCGGGCTGGGAGGAAAACTCGAAGGCGTTGGGGGGGGGGTCGCCTATCCATTTCGGAATCCCCCCCGGGGAAGGAGAGCCTCGAGTGGTGGACGCCGCCCCCGCCTCCCCAGTGCCAGAGGGCTGAGAGGGGGGGAGAAAGAGAGAGAGAGAGAGAGAGAGAGAGAGAGAGGCAGGCAGGCACCCACCTACCCTCCTCCCTGCCCCCGCCCCGCGCAGCTGGAGGGCCATGCTAGGGAAGAGGCCACGCTTCCCAAACTTCCTGCCCCGCTCGCTCGGCCAACGGGTGCCAAGAGCTGCCGCCGCGACCGCCGCCGAGCGAGCGCTTCCTCAGCCAGGGAACCGCAGGAGCCGCCGCAGCTCCCGGGGGAGGACCTGAGCGCTCGCCTTGCTTCTACCTCGCCGAGCGCGCGCGCGCGCGAGATGAGCGGGCCTCGAGGGAAAGCGCCCGAGGCTGCCCCCCAAAGCGGCGGTCGCTGCGCCGGGGGCGTCGGCAGGGGCCCCGTTATCCTCTCGCTGCTCTTCTCGCTCCTCTCGGTGGGCGCTTGCTTTCTCCTCAGCGCCAAGACCTCCAAGCTGCAAGGGCGGCTGGTGGCCCTGGAAGAAGAGTTGGCCAGCCGCGCCTGGAGCCCCGGAGAGCAGCTGGCCGCCGAGCCTTTGCTCGCCGCGCTTCAGCCTCAGGTGGACGACCTTCTCCGGGAGGTAAGGGCTGAGAAGGGCGGGGTGGGGGACAAGGGCGGGGCGGGAGGCTGCCTTATTTGCCCGCTTCTCTCAAGTAAACTTTCGAAGAAAAGTTTGGCTTTCCCCCCTCCCCACTCCACCGGCTCTAGGAAGGGGCTGCGAATGGCAGGCAGGCAGGCTGGCGTTTGGATCCAAATCTCGGCCACCAACGTCTTTTTGATTGACAGCGCGGGGCTCGACTCGAGAATGCAGGCAGAGCCCCGTCGCACCTCACAGCTTAATCCAAGGCTGAGGAGGGCATCTGAAGGCGCCGCCGCCGCTTGCGATCTGCTGAAGCGGCGGGACTCTGCATAGCTGTGGGTCTTCAAAGTGCCTCCCAGGGCATCGGGTGTCGTTTCTGCTGTAACTGGCCGAGACCGTTACAACTCGATACTGGAACCAGGCGGATGGGACCCTCGCTCTCTGCCTTCTCCAAATGATAACACTTGTGGGGGTGTTTTGCATTGTGGAACTCCATGCTTAACCTTTTAACCTACATTTCCTCAAAGAGCTGGGGACCTGGTGAAAACCCTATCCTCAACACCTGCTCCGTGTTGTTGTCACAACACTCCCAGCTAAGCTAGAGCAAGATGATCCATTGCTTAATATATTGTGAGAACCACAGCGGTTTAATTAGTCTAGTAAACCATTAGCATGTTCCAAGTGACTTGCTCCAGAGCATCCTCTGATCTAAAATGTTTGAGCGGGGATTCAGATCTGGCTTTAACCCAGCTGTTATCTGCCAGGATGCACTGTTTTAATTGCTGGATTGCAAGCACTACAATATATAAGTAAAAATATCCTCTAGTTGAGGTTAACTCTTGGTGGCGGCATTCTTGCAGTTTTCTCAGCACCATTTTGGAGATGGGTTGCCTTTGCTTTTCCTGGGATCATTTTTGTTTTTTGTTTTATTTCACATTTTAATCAACTCCCTTGGATGAATGTAAAAGAAATGTATATTTTGAGCAGGTACAGAATGTTTCCTTAGCTATAGTTCCAAAATTGTAAAAGTGCTTTGAGGATGTCAAGGTCTCTCCAAAGCTCTTTTAAACTAATATTCTCCAGAAATGTTGGACCACAACTCACAAAACTGTATAGGTATAATTAATTTTGTACACTTTTATAAATATACATTTGTGAAATATGGATTTCTAGATTACTTCCTTACCTTACCTTATGTTTTTAAATTCTGTGACAGCAATACTCAAAACAGTCTTTATCATAGTGATCAGTTGACTTTCCAGAATACCAGGTTGGCATTGCAATTTAAGACATATCTGGAGGGTTTCAGGTTAGCGAGAGGGGGTTTATAAATGGCTGAAACATTTCAAACTTACTGATAATCATATTGTGTAGAGTTGGGAAAAGCTCCAGTAATAACCTTTCTTAAAATCAAAAGCACTTTAAGAATATTTCCCAGGAAAGGGAGAGCCTCCTAGTAAATGTAAAATGAAGCTAATTTAATTTATGAAATGTGTTAAATAGGGTTGCAAAGATGTGCAAATCATGGGCCATATCTTGTATATTGGTTGGCAATTAATACACAGACTTGACTGGCATGGTGTTCACACAAATCTTAATATCGGTTTAATTATCTGTTACAATTAAGACATCCCCTTTCTAGCATTGAACTGGGCTGATCTGGAACAAAACATGGTGTGATTGGATTAGTACTTGGATGAAAATCCAATAGAAAGTCCTTTGGTTGTAAGTCCTTAGGTGACAAAATTAGACAAAATTAGAAGAATGCAGTGGCAAACCACTTTTGTATAGTTGCCAAGAAAACTACATGAACATGTCTATACAGCCACCAGGAGTTAAGTTTGACAAGAGGGAAGCCAAGGGCACTTTCTTAAGTACCTAGTTGTTTGTTCTGTGCCTTCACAAAATGTTAGATACGACTCACTGACAACTTGATTCTGCTTCTTCATAGGATAATTGCGGATGTGAAGTGAGGACAGAAGCTTATGACACTGTAAAAACAAAGACATTTGTTATACCTATGAAAAGAGAACTGATTTGCATGCTATAGTAAGGGATTAAAAGTGTTTTTTTTTCTGCAATAAACCAGGATGGCTACTATTCTAAAATATGAGGTAAAATTCATATCTGGAATTATACAGAATGATAGTCCTTCTCAGTGGTAGCCCCCTTTCCTCTGGAATTCTTTCTTTCCTGAGGTATGTGAAGCTTCTGCTTTGCTGACATCTCAAAAATCAGTTACATATACTTTATTCCAATGAACCTTTGATCACAGCTGATTGATTGATTGAGAGTGTTTGTCTAAGGTTTTGCATTGGATTGCATTTCTATGTTTTCCCCTTGTTTATTTCTGTGTCCAGATTTTTGTTTGTTTTGATGATGTAGTGCCTGGTTTCTTTCAGGATTGGGGCAGATTACAAATATTGATAGATAGGTAAATAAAGCACTGTAAGTTTTATCTAACAGGTTTATAGTGTTTGGGGTTTTTTGCTCATGAAATTTTACAATTTGCAGCCAACATCAGGAGAAGAATTAGAAAGGCTAAGAATCCTTTTCATGGTATGTTTTCTAATCCTATGCAAATTATCCAGAGTTTGCTTTCTTTAAAAGACCAGAAGTGTATGGGATATAGATACATGATGCAAAATCCATGCCAAAAGAGGAAAACAGTTTATAGTGTTGCTCAGTCTGTAGCTATATCTCCAAGACTGGAAAATTGGCATGAAATTGCTTAACATTTAAACAAAACCAGGACAGAATCTTGACAGCAACATCTATATGCTGTCTAACTCCACTTAATGTTGGTTGTAAGTAGCCAAGAAAAGAATAACAGGAGTTTAAATTTTATTTCAAAAACAAAATTTCTGCAGAACTACAAAATTGATTAACATAGATACTGTCGTTCCAAAGAATATGAATAAATATGCCCTTTGGTTTTTAATTTTGGTGTTACTGACAGAGCATTCAAATAAGGTAATTGTTCAATTAGTCTCAGATACAGTTCTTCTTTTTAACTGTCACAAGATAACTTGTAAGATATCCTGGAGTACACTATCCAGCTATAAATAGCACTTTCCTACCAATGTTTTGAATTTTGTAGCCAATCTGTACAATATGATTAGTTCAGTCCAACTTTACTGGCTTGTGATTTAGAAATAGAGGAACACAAGCCAACAGAAATGGGGAAATTACTACTGTAGTGCAATAGTATAATTGCAGCTTAATGAAGTGATATTGCAATGAAAAATCCCTTCTTGAAATAGTCATTATGAAAAAAGGAAATTCTAATATAAGCAGTGGATGCTACAGAAATGCTCAAAGAAAAACAGTAGATTTATTTTTCTCATATAGCTGGATATTGCAAACCTATCCAGCTATAATTTGGATTTCATTTTTGTTTATGATTGAAAATAGTTTCTTAGTCACTGAACTTTTAAAAATTTGGATTGGTTCAGACATACAGTAATGCTAAATCAATGAACCATTGGTATAAATCTTACATTTATTAGGTCTCCTGCTGTGTTTATTTTCTTTTTCTGAGTGACTACAGAATTGGAATGCTTTGACTTTTCTAAAACATTTTTAAACCGGCATACAAAGAAGAATATGGGGATTAATGTATTCATTCATTAGAGAATCAAGTTTTAGTTATTTAATAAAGGTCTGAAACCAAAAAGGATACATATGGAGGATTAAAAGAAAGGTTCAAAATAGACAAAATTCATAATTGTTGAGCTAGTGTCAGGTAGGTTAAAATTTAGAATAAGATGAAGTTGGTGAATGATAATAAACAACAAAAGATTCTTCAGATGCATTCAAAATAAAAGAGAAAAGATTTATACCAGTTGCCCAGTGAAGATGGCAAAATGCTAGACATTAGCACACAACATATAAAGGTGAAACTACTCAGTTCCTATTCTGATTCAGGCTTTATCAACAAGAATGCATGTGTTGTACCAGGCAGAATGAGGGGGCAGGCCTGAAGCTTGAGATTGAGAAAGAGAGAGTTGGTCAGGACATATCAGTTTATTCTGAAGGAGTTTAAATCTACAGAGCTGCATGATTTACATCCTACCATACTATAGGAACATTGTACTATAGAATTCCAGACACAGGAATGGTCTGGCTGAACTTTTATGTATTACTTTTGAGAAATCCCAGAAAACAGCCAAAATGGTTCTCAACCTTGGCAGCGTGAAATTATGTGTGCTTCATACTGTCTGAGGAATCCTGGGAGTTGAAGTCCACATGTCTTCATGTTGCCATGGTTGAGAAATACCGTGATAGAAAATAAAAAGAAGGCAATGTCACAGGAAATTATGACTTCAGAAATGGCAAAAGGAGAGAGGATCCAGGAAACTATTACCAACCCTTCAAGGTAGGTCAGATCTGGAAACGGACTCAAAGTGACTGGAAATGTATTAACATAGACTATAGTAACAGAATCTTGAAGGCCTACCTATGTTTTTCCTAAAACTTTGTTTCCTGGTCCTAAAATATGCTTACCACATAGATCAGGGATGTCAAACTGGCGGCCTGCGGGCCAGATGCATCACATGCAGGCCATACCCACTCCAGCTTCATGAAGGAAAAAAACATCGCAATATGTCATGCGACATGACAGCAACGTGACCCCACAAGTTTGACACCCTGATATAGATTCTCCAAGGTCATTTTTGTGGCCCTCTACAACTTGAAACAATTAGTCTTATAGCAATACCTGGGAAGATTTGAGAACAGATAATAAAACAATCAGTCTGCAGATACCTTGATAATAATGTGGTGATAATCAAAAGCCAGTATGGATTAGTCAATAGTAGAGCAGCTGACATTTTTTTAGACTTGTAACGTTAAATATTGGATTGCCATGGACATAAAGGATCTTGATTTCAATAAGCATTTGATAAAGTATTCAAGAACATTCTGGATTGGGAAACTATATGGGCTGGATAGCAAAACAATTAGGGGGATATATAGCTATCTTTAAAAAACTTCCATTA